CTGCCAGGCTTTCGAGTAGGAGCCGCCACTACTACGACCATTACTACCACTACCATCACCACCACCACCAACTGGTTTGGGCAACAGCGGGGTGCGGAGATGGCCCGGTGACAAGCGAACTACAGCGCAGCGTGGAGCTGATACCACTGAACCACCCTCTTACTGAAGACTGATTTTGAAACATCCAGAGCACTTTGCAATACTGTTAATGATTGTTTTATCCTGTTTTAATTCTGTTTTTATGTATTGGCCTTTGTGCCCTATTTGTGAGCCGCCCTGAGCCTGCTTGCGGGGAGGGAGGGCTAGGAATTTAATGATAAATAAATAAATAAATAAAATTTAATTTAATGGAATGGTATTTTGTGTTGCTGGGTGTCATATAGTTTTGTTACCCACTGGGAAAGACTGTAATTCTAAATGCACAAAGAAACATTCTCTCGCTACTAAATAACTTCAGATTGTTCTCCTCCCTCCTTTTGAGATAAACTTTTTTTTTGGCCAGGCTGTTTTAAGGGTTTAATTTAATGGAATGGTATTTTGTGTTGCTGGGTGTCATATAGTTTTGTTACCCACTGGGAAAGACTGTAATTCTAAATGCACAAAGAAACATTCTCTCGCTACTAAATAACTTCAGATTGTTCTCCTCCCTCCTTTTGAGATAAACTTTTTTTTTGGCCAGGCTGTTTTAAGGGATGCATGCTATTGGACCCTTGCCCCTCAATCATGCCCCAACAGCAATGCAGAGGAATTTCATTTTCCTAGAATTCAGCCCACAATTTGACATTACTATTAATTAGTATAATCAGCACCTGCTGGTTAATTAATTATTAATTAATTCAAACATTTATTAGCCATCTTTCTACCTTTTTGGGAGTTTGAGGAGTTTGGGAGTGCTGCTTTTGAGATATGCTGTGACTTATTGTGGTTTTGAGTTTGTTACCACCAACTTTTTGATAATTGTTCCTTATTATGTTTGTGATTCTACAATAATATATATGAGTTTGGCATTATTACTGACTCTGCTTTCCATATAATTATTGTTGCATTGGATTAACATATCAAGAAAAATTGGAACCCACAGCTAAATTGCGAATTAAGGACCGGGTCACACCTCTCTTGAGCCCCCAGTCATCAGGCTAGGGTTGCCATCCCCCTGATAGGGGCGGGGACTCCACTGATTTCAGGCCCCCTGATCTGCCTGCTGGCCACTGGGCCAACAGGGGGAGTCCTGCCCCCAAAGAGCT